TTTCCTGTTACATCTGTATTTATACCATTTGATTTTAATCCTATCCATTCTATTCCAAAGGTGAGGGCGTTTATTATCTCCATTCCAAGGTCACTATTCTACTGTTCTGTTAAGCTACAAGGAAGTAACTGAAGGAGATTATCCTAAGTAAAGATTATGTAGCTTAAGCGTGATTGTTCGTAGTTAAGGTGAGTTAACTACCTGCCGGGCACTTAGTTAAGGGGTTTTACTGATTTATTCCCTTCCTTAGTCCTGTTAATCCCTAACTCCAGGAGAAAATTCCCACCTGGGGAAACAACCTTTCTCAGAGAGGTAACCCTGGTTAAAACACATAGCGCTAAGAAGGGGAGCAAACATATTAAGAACAGTATGCCATATACACCAGGTCCCTTGCAACATATGCTGTGCAGATGTTTTTTCACTGCAGTGACTGTGTCAAGCAGCAAGGATGGACTGGCTTCCGGCACAGTAGGATAAATGAGGGGAAAATTAAAGGTTTTTGCCCTGGCTGGGTGGCTCAGTTGGGTAGAGCATTGTCCCACAGCCCAAAAGGTTTGGGTTTGATTCCAGGACAGGACAAATATCTAGGTTGCAGATTCGATCCTGAGTCAGGGCATGTATGGGAGGCAACCAATTGATGGTTCTCTCTCTCTTTTTCTCTCCTTCCCTTCCTTTCTCTCTTAAAAAAAAAATCATTAAAAACATCCTCGGGGGAGAATTTTAAAAATTACAGGTTCTTGTATATATTCTCATACATTTCTTGAAACCTGCTCTCCTAATTAACAGGGATGGCTTTTGCAATAAGGCAACTCTGATAATAGCATATTGAATGCTCTGATTAATAAATGATATACAGTACAAAAACAGACTCATGGAAAACAAATGTCTTTGCTTAGTTGTATAGCGAAGCTTGTAAAAAAGACAAGGAAACCCAAAATACTGCAGCTATGCTTGATCATGTGAATCATAAAATGTTAGACTTGGAAATCTAGCCAATTTCCTGGTTTTACAAAAGGCTCTGGGGTTGTAAAAACGTTAAGGAAGCAAATTTGAACCAAGTGTACTGAAGCTCCAGCAAGCACAACACAGGGTGGGGCAAAAGTAAGATTTTGTTGAGTACCCAAAACACAGACTTTATTCTTGTATAATTAATTACTGCATTATTTTCCATCCGAACAACTGTAAACCTACTTTTGCTCCACCCTGTATTGGTGAAATAAAAGTTTTAATTCAGAATTTAGGTAACAAAGGTAAAAAATTTAACATTCAGTAGAAAAAGCATCTCTAATTCCTAAAAGACATGATCAAGGGCCAATGGCTCTTTATCATCCTGCAAACAAATTGCCAACAATTGTCATGTTGGTCATGAGGACATGTTGCATTGCTCTACGATTCAGTAAATAACATTTTCTCTTCACTGTCAAAACGGAGATAAAATTAAATTTGTACCCTATTTCCAGAAAATCCTATGAATTCTAGTAGTCTGATAATCCGTGCTGGCAAGAGGGACAGCATCTGTAAGAGAAAAATAATACAAGTGTACTGACATGCTAGTGTATCTCACCATAGGTAAATGTTAAACTCCAAACAACTTCAAGTTTTAGTAATTCAGGAATATGAAAAATTAGAACCGAGTTGAAATCACCAGACGTGTCTCAATCATCACTTACTGCACAGGTTGCGATCATTACTTGTGAATTAATTTCATTTAGCTAAGACAATAATCTCAAAAAAAAAAAGTTTAAAAAAAGGAAAACCTGGCCTTTTCAGCATGCTCTAAAGACGACGTGCTCCTGTCATGTGTAGTGATGCAATGAGGAGGCGGCAATTCCTCAGGGCCCACCGCTCCAAGCAAGGTTTCTTTTAGCATCCTCTTCAGAAAGCTCACGTGTGTTGTATTCTGCATGGCCTGCAGGCACCACCAAAGTGGACCGCTGCACACTACAGCCCCTCCCTGGGACATCCCTGCAGAGCCGTGGTGAAGGGAAATCCTCCCAGTGCAGAACGTCCAGCACTGCACCTGCTGTTCACTTTGCTTAGAAGGAGAAATGCCCGCATGTGTGATTATATGCGATTCATGGGCTGGAGCCCGTGGTTTGTTTGGATGGTCAGGGGTTTGGGAAGAACATGGTGGGAACATTGATGACAACAAGGTCTGTGGAAGGGGTGTGTGGATGGGCCTCTCTGAATGGGCAAAAGCCATGAAGACAGTTGTGTCGCATGTGCATGTTCACTAAAGGCTGACCTCAGCAGAGGAGGATTTTAATAAAGTGGATGGGGTGACCCATTCTGTGCACAGTGGTCAGTCTCCTTGCTCAGCCACCTCTGTCAGCGATCCATGGGCTCATGAACAAAGTGGCCGTGGTAACATATACATGCGTGCATACGATTCCCTTTACCAATTTATTTTCACAACAATTCCAGTCAAACCTTAATAAAATTCAAAATCTCTAATATGTCACAATTGGACAGGTATCTACTCCCAACGTTTCACCTCACGCGGAACATCAAAATCATTCCCCAAGTTGGTAAGCAATTCCTGGTTATTATAAAGTTTAACCATAACTTGGGGAATGTCACTCCATCACCTATTTTTCATTTCAGAGCCGTCATTGCTATAGCAACAATATTTCTGATGTGGAAATGGAACTGGATTCCTAGGCCTTCTTACCGAAAAATGTTATTTCTCCATTCAGAGTGCTATATGCTTCCCTTATTGTACAACCCAAAATTATTCTGAACATGTGCAGGACTTTACAACACATACTGACCAAGGCCCTCACTGGGTCTCAACAGAAGAAAACTGATCCCACTCTACCACTTACCAACCAGACCCAGGCAGAGGGTCAGGGTGAAGTTCAAATACAGTACAGAAGGCACTGAAAACCTACGATCTTTTACAAACGATTCTGGTGGGTATATAATTATTTACTTACCAAATTGAAGGCCCCTATTCCAAGTTTGACACCCCCTTCAAACTCATGGAAGAACTGTTGCTCAACTTTGTTCTTCTGAAGTATATGCAGGATAGAAAGACATTCTCTGGATTGAAGACAGAAATTAGAGCATAAATTTATTATGACTCTGAAAATGATTAAGTCAAATTTCACACTTACACACCATAAAATAATTGTCATTGGCCAAAATTCTAGAGAATATCTAAGTGGATGCTGCTGTGTTGAGTTTTACTTTTAAAGCTATTGCGTAATTATCAGTAAGGAAAAATGGCACACTCCTTTCTACACTGTTTACCAGGACTAATCCTCTGGGCGTAAAGCAAGAGAGGTTCAAACACCAGCAAGTATGACCCAGGAGACGTAGGACTGCAGAACCTCGGTCTCCCAGTCTCCCACAATGTGGTAGAGGGGACTTCCTGGGTGCAGTCCATTCCTCAGCACCCCATCTTCCATCAACTAACTGAGATGCTACTGACAAAAAAACCCCTGCATTTCAGTGTGATCACCATAGTCTCCAATAGACCAAATGAATTAGAGCTTGTGACTAGGAAACACTGAAAGAAGAAAGCAAATTCCATCACAATAGCTCCATTTGTCCTCTTATTTTTTCCTGTTCCTCCAAGCAAATCTTACTGATTTCTCACTTTAATATCTTTTCTATGCATTTCTCCCTTTCCCTTCACATCTTCAAAAGAGAAATGCAAATTAAACTCAATGACAGAGATATCAAATTTATAATAACCAGGAATTGCTTACCAAATTGGTAAACATATTTTAAGTGTATTAAGAAATAACCAGGTATTATGTGTTATGATATCATTATAATGCATGCACCTATATTTGATGTGCATAATATATTTAACCTGAATCTAATAATCCTGTAGCTCAAACTTGCAGATTATAGGAAATATAAGGAGCTATAAACTGAATTATGTCTCACCACCCACAAATTCATAACCATCCAGTACACTGGTGTGACAATTAGAGAAAATTGAGTAAAGTCAATACATTAGTTCATAATATTACATCAATGTTAGTTTCTTGATTTTAGTAACTGTACTGTGGTTCTATAAGATGTTAACTTTTGTGAAATTGAGTAAAGAATATCTAAAAATTCTTATAAAATTCTGAAATTATTTCAAAGTGAAAAAATTTTAAAAACACACAAAAGTTTAAAGGTCTTCGTACTTTAGGATTATAAAAAAACACTTTCCTGCCGAAACCGGTTTGGCTCAGTGGATAGAGCGTCGGCCTGCGGACTGAAGGGTCCCAGGTTCGATTCCGGTCAAGGGCATGTACCTGGGTTGCGGGCACATCCCCAGTAGGAGATGTGCAGGAGGCAACTAATCGATGTTTCTCTCTCATCGATGTTTCTAACTCTCTATCTCTCTCCCTTCCTCTCTGTAAAAAATCAATAAAATATATTTTTTAAAAAAACTTTCCTGTGTTTTATTATTCTTTTTAAAATATTCTAATATTAAATCTATATGGAATTTATTTTTGCATAGTCATTTTTTCAAAATGAAGACCAATTTTCCCAAAATCATTTGTTAAAGTTGCTGTCTTCCTCCACTGTTTTGAAAGAGATTTATGTATATATAGGAATTTAGTATATTTTAATACACACACGACGCATCTGTTTCAAAACCCCATGTTCCATTCCACTCGTAGATGTCTGTGCCATTATAAGACTATTTTAATTTCTTCAGCTTTTTAAGTTTTGATGACTAGAAGCAATCAATTTTAACATTCATTTATATCTTCTAAAAATATTTTGAGAGAAAAGCTAAAAAACAGTTTATCAGGATCCCACAATCCATCCCCCTCCAGGGTTTTTTTTTTTTTTTTAATATATTTTATTGAATTTTTACAGAGAGGAAGGGAGAGAGATAGTCAGAAACATCGATGAGAGAGAGACATCGATCAGCCGCCTCCTGCACGTCCCCCACTGGGGATGTGCCCGCAACCCAGGTACATGCCCTCGCACGGCATCGAACCCGGGACCCTTCAGTCCGCAGGCCGACGCTCTATCCACTGAGCCAAACCAGCTTTGGCCCCTCCAGGGTTTTTGAATGGAATATAATTTTATGAAATCATTTTGGGTAAAAGTATCTCTTAAAATACTAAGTGCTTCAGTCTGAAAATACACAGGAAAAAATGAAGAACACCAAAAATGGTAGCTATATGGATACATAAAGAAGACTCTAATTTAAGACTATTTCAACAAAAGATTGGCACTGCATTGTGAGGTTTATACTATGCATATGTGTACTATCATCAGAATAGTAAAAAAGACAACAGGTGGAATATGAAACTATACTTTTGCAAAAGTTCTTATATTTTATGGTAATGGTACAATATTAACTCTAAGTTGGCCGTGACAAGAAGTATATTGGAATCACTAGAGCAACTATTAAAAAATTAAAGATGGCTACAGCTGGGAAAATAGAAGGATTATTTACTTTTTTAATTTATTAAAGCAAAAGAAGGGAAAAAACCAATGAGGCAAAGTGAAAAAACAAAATGGTAGTCACAAGTGCAAACATATTGTCATACTGATAAAAACGAAGGACAGAATGATGAACAGCTACAAGAAATGTAATTTAAATACTTTTAAAAGGTTTAAAGTAAAAGAATATTTGCCACGCAGACACTAATTATAAAATAGCATGAATAGCTGTATTAATATCAGAAAGAAAAAAAGATTTCAAGACAAGGAATATTATAAGGAGTTAAGTAGGGACGATTCATACTTATAAAAAGGTTAATTTATTGGGAAAATAAACCAATTAAAAATATACAAGCCTAACAACAGAGTTTCTAAATATACAAAGCAAACACTGATGTAACTAAACGGAGAAATAAATGACTCCAGAATCAAAGTTAGGGAGTTTTAACATTGTGAGTAAATGATAAAACCACTAGATAAAAATCAAAAAGGGATGCAGAAACTAGGAACAACACGATGGTCCACCTTAATTGAACATTTGAAACACTGCAGAAATTCTATTGGGCAATGCTGCTCTAGAGGCTGGGCCAAAGATATACCTGTCATTTTAAATTTATGAATTGTTTGTAGAAGAGAGATACTAAGATCACCTAAACATAAATTATCAGCTCATGTTCAGCTGTTTTCCCTTAAAATTACATTGAAATTTATATTCTGTTGTCCTATAGCAATCAATCAGTAAGCCAGAAATCAAGTGCATTTTTGCCAACATCAAATTTAAAAAAAACCCTAGTCATAAACTTTGAAGTACAAAATGGTACATAGTACAGGAAAAACCACATGATCGTGGTCAAAAATACAAACTTCCAGTGGTAAGACTTAAAAAGCCCCATCTTAAATTTTAACTTACTTATATATATGGTAACTCGTCCTAATTTTGAGTCCACCTTTGATGAAATTGATCATATTTTCATCCTGAAAACAATTCAATTAAATAATTAGATCATCTAGCAAGAGATTCTTAAACCTTCCCCATAGCTATGTAGCTGTGTGATCTGAACAAGATACCATCTTTTGAGAACATCAATTTAAAATTAAAACATTCTCATTGTTTTATATTTGAAATACCATTTTGTCATTTTCCTTCCAAGTTAGAGGACAACAGGAAGGAAACATTTTTTAAATCCTCAAATTACTTTAAGAAAGTAATTAAAGAAATAACTCTCACAATAAGGGGCCATATTGGTGAATACAAACTTACTTTAATGAACTTTCTTCTTGGTTCAATAGAATCCAAAATGGTTGGCTCTAGGAATATGACCTAAGGCCTTTGCTGTCCCTGTCCGTCATACTCCAGTCAATGGGATTCGGTTCTTTTTGCACAGGGTATTTTAATAGACAAAGGCCATTTATCATTGTGAGTGTCATTCATATATATTTCCAAACTAAAAATAACTGTTCTGGATTCTAAATTTCTTGTCAATAATATGAAGTTTTGTTTTTTGGGGGAAATGCACTTCTCTTTGCCCAATGGTCATCAACCATCAAATTGGGGCAGTTGGCCTAAATGAATGGCATTTTGAGACTCAGCATTCTAAGGTTCCAAAAGTCTCTTTAAAAAGCCTATCAAATTAACTGCTTGAAGGAAGTTACTACAGGGTAGCAAAAGGAGGTTTACAGTTGTCTGTATGGGAAATAATACAATAAATAATAATACAATAATAAACTTTGTTTTGTGTACTCACAACTGTAAACCTACTTTTGCCCCACCCTGTATAATAGATGATGCAATGGAGATGGTCCCATGTTTCCCATTTCTAAGAACACTTTTCTAAGCTATTAATATCAGAAAGATGCTCTGGTATTTATCTCCTGTGCATTTGAACATCATCTGAAGCAAAAGAAAAGTTGACTTTACTAATTTCATTAATTACTTAAATATTTAACATTTAAATTATTATAATATTAATAAATACAAAATTCACTACACAATTTTTATCATTGTATTTTAAGGTATTTTATGATTACACAAATTGCAATAATGGCCAGAAAAAAATGTGCTTAAATTAGATTAAAATCTGCCTCAAATAAGAATATTTTATTTCATGATTCACCAAACATTGGCTGAATGCCTGTTTTACACTGGGGCACCAGGATGCAAAATTAGACGAAAGCAATGCAATGTGTTGAGCAGCGATTCTCAACCTGTGGGTCGTGACCTCTTTGGGAGTCGAACCACCCTTTCACAGGGGTCGCCTAAGACAATCGGAAAACACATATATAATTACATATTGTTTTTGTGATTGATCACTATGCTTTAATTATGTTCAATTTGTAACAATGAACTTGGGGGTCACCACAACATGAGGAACTGTATTATAGGGTCGCAGCATTAGGAACGTTGAGAACCACTGTGCTAAGGGATGGAGGAATGCATACAGATGGAGACATGCACAGCGGGATGCCATAACAGCACAAAGGTGGGAGGGCTGGAGGATGGGAGGTATCAGTGCTTAAAGCACATGTGTACACACACACACACACACACACACACTGATTAGGAAGTAGCTGGTGAAGAAAGGCAAAGCAGATGTAAAGTTTGCAAGCAAAGGAAAATTCAGTGGGAAGGCGAGAAAGCATTACAGGTCACGGGGTATTTGGCTATCCTCAGCACTGCTGCAGAAATCTACAGCAAAGGGAATGACGAAGGAGTAAGAAAGCCACCTCTACCCAGGCCACTCGAATATGCAACATATCTGTCACCTGAGGCCCTCGGGAAGAGGGGAGCAGGGAACTTGGGGGAGACATTGGTTTAGTTTGGAAAAGCCCCCTCCATTTCTGGAATTCTAACACAGAACCACGGCTGTAGTCCGTGAGAGCTACTCAAGGCTGAAGCAGAGGAATGACAAGGTGAGGTGCTCATCTTTCAGAGGGAGCTCAATTGCACAATGGAGAATGAACGGGAGGTCAGAGAAATTAGAGAGTCACGGGGTTGCTGTCCAGCCCAGGGAAGAGCTGAGGTGCACCTCCACTAGACAATTATAATCAGAAGGAAGAGGAAGAGTTGGAGCTGCTAACTCTTCCCAAGGTAAAAGAGGCATGACCATGAGACTGACTGGGTGTGGAGGCGTGCGGAAGAGGAAAACCATGGATACCTCCCGGACGTTTCATTACAAGTATCCAAGCATAACATAGCCTTTAAATCACAGATGTGGTTGTCAAATCCCCATTAGGGAAACACATCAGAAAAAAGCGAAGGCCTCCGTGACTAACATCATGTTTATTTACTAAGGCGGGAAGACTTGTTTTTAAACAGCCCTCATAATACGGTGGATTTTAAGAAACAGGGTCATGGGCCCGATAGATTCGATTTTGCCAAACCAGGATCCAACCTAAGCAGTCATCCTCCAGCAAAAGAGAAAAGCAATTCTCAATACAGTGTGAAACGCTGAGATTGAGGAAGATTCTTTTCATATTACAGCTGAATTTCTACCTCTTACAATCTCCATGCCACGGTTGCCCCACGGTGCCCATCACCGCCACCCATGCTTTTTAGAAGTATTGGAAGGTACTGGTGGCAACGGTCCCTCAAGGTGAAATTAAAATGCCTCCTAGGGAAATGAGTCATGGTTTTGCTAGTGACTTTTTTAAAAATGCTCATTCAGAGGAAGAACTAAAAGCAAGGCAGGGGAATGAGAATAGGGAGGGGGAGAAAAATAAAATCTGAAGTATGCATGAAAGGTGTGGCTCTCGGTGCATGCATAACTGATCTCTGCTGAAGCAGCTGATGCAAGAAGGGAATGGCCAAGGATTAGGGAAGCCTTTTATGCCCGGGCCACTGCTGTGTGCAGCCCTCTACCAATGAGAGCGAGCACAGAGGGAGAGAGAAGCTCGGTTTTCATACAGAGGAGCATCCTGAAATTAGGTGTGGTACTTGCAAGACAGTTCCTTTAAAAGGCAGTCGTTTCCAGGAGACTACAGTTTGAAACAGACTCTAAGCACATGTGAATAACAATAAAGCTCCCTGGTTTATCAGAATAACAAGTATCTATCATTGCAGCTCTAGGTCAAAAGAACTGAAGCGCTGACATCGAAGGAGCCATGTTTTTCCTATGGAGCTTTGGCAGGCTACCCTGCCCCAGCAACATGGACTCTAAAGCAAAGGTTCGTTACCTGCACAAAGGTGAGTGCTGCTTTCTGTAGGAGACACTCAGCATAACAGATTTCGGCATGCATTTCCTCTAGGAAAAGAAACAAATAAAATCATATTAAGGAAAATCCCAGTGCACAGTCATTGCTCTGAGATGTTCAGAAAAGACTGGTAGATAAATGAGCCCAAGAGAAACGCAAAATCCTAGGTTGCCCTGATGCTTCCGTAAAAGTGGAACGATGACCTCCGTTCTCAGTCTCTCCCCAAGATTTTCCCAGAATGTGCAAACTGGCTCAGGAGAGTCATCTATGGTTCCACTAAATGTGAGGGCAAGGAGCCGGGCCATTAGTGTCAGGGACCCGAACTCAGCTCGTAAGAGGAAATCAAAATTCAAAAGCATTAAAACCAAAACAGAAAACCACTTCATTTTAATAATAATATTCAAGTTTAACACAGTATAAAGATTAAAAGAACTAACTTACATTTGTGAATTCTAGCTTCTAAAATATGAAGGTACGATAATCATGGCAATGATCAGACACATTAGTAACCTAAAAACAGCCATTCTCTAGAACTCAGTGAAAAACAATTGTCCCTGTGTGCACACGTCATGGCCCCTACACACAAAAAACATGTGAAAAGCACACGAGCCAGGTTTTAGGCTGCGTTGATGGCTGTGACACTGAACACGGGAACAAAGCCCTGGACCGGGGGCTCTGTGCAGCATGTATGTCCCGGGGGCCCATGGAGCGCCTCCAACACTGGGTCTGTCTTCCCAAACAAGCCATTACACTTGCAGAGATTGGGGAGAAGCGGGGAATCTTTGCATGAAAAACATCAGCCGATTCCTGTTTTATCCCTGAGATGCAAATGGGTATTTTATTTAAGTAAATGAGCTTGGGGTGTTTAACAGCCCGGATTGGAGGAGAGGCTCTGCCAAGTACTCAGCGGTAGGACCTTAAGAAAGCTCCCCGGCCTCTCTCTGCTGGTCTCCTCGTTAGTACGGCCTGGCTACAAGGTCTCTACTGCGGAGCTCAGGAACCAGTGAGGGGCTGGGTGTGGAGCTCACCGTTCCGAGAAGCACCTGATACATAAATAAAGCAGGACATTTTGTGTGCCGTAATGAAAAACAGGGTGTTTCTGTGCTAGTGGAAAAGCTGTTGAATTAAACTGGATAAGAACTACTGCTTTTATTTACACACCAAACCCCTGACCTCTGTCACACACACACACACTACACACCACTGGTTTTCACAAATGGGTTCAACGTCCTGCCATGCTCATATTCCACAGATTGAATGTACAAAAAAAAGCAACTCTGCCTCTAAGATTCCCCCACGAGCACCCATAAGGATGGGCCGCACTGAGGAGTGATGGCCTGTGCACATCCCAGCAGCATCGACAGGGTCTCAGTCCTTCAAAACACCCACCTCTACGTGTGCTTTTGGACTTTCCCGGTGTATCCAGTCGATAAAAACTGGCAACTTCTATTTGTAGAGTCACCTGACTATCCTCTCCCCCGGGTACACTTGTCACGAAGCGGGCATGGTCAGGAACTATTCACTTTGAAAGCCTGCTCAGTAACCCAGACGGTTGGCGTGGGGCAGGTGCTGCGGGGGAAGCTGCTGTTGGGCGAGGAAAGTGCAGACCACCTGCAGGTGTGCCTGTGGCTGAAGCACCAGGTGTAAAGGGAGGCGTGGCCACTGAGTCTGGAAATGTTAAGTCAGAGCTAAATCATGGACAACCCTGAATGTCAGAGTCGGGGCTCGATTCGGGAGGCAATGGCGAGTCCTCGCACAGATCTGGGCAGAAGAGGGGCAGGGTCAGAGTTACGTTAAAGACAGACAAATCTATCAGCAGCTGAATGATGTTAGCAGAAAGCAGAGATAAAAGGCAAGAACGTTTGAATTCCATGTACTATACGTACATATTCTTCACATTAAATCCCTCTTCCATCCTAAGCACTGCCTAAACTATGTGTTCCTCAAGGCAATTCAAAAGCCATTCAGGGCGACATGCCAGCCACGAGAGAAGGCCGGGTGTGTTCCATGTTAAACCCATGAAAAGTTTAATTAACTATATTTCCTCCTGCACCCAACCAGCCACTCAAGGATGTAAATGAAAATTACCAAGAGGAAAAACAAATCACACGCTAAAGCTACAATGTTTTGACATGCTCCCTTGAACACAAAGTCTGTTTGGATTGCACTGGCAGCCAAATTCATTAGGAATAAATGCAACTTAATTTGTGAAAGTCTTATTTCTTAGTTCACTGAAGGAAATACCTTCATTTTGCATTGAAATGCTAGCTAAGCATGCCTTTGGGTATAAAAGTCTAAGTAAACCTATATTTCAGAATAGGCTATAATCATAAGTTCACTTTATTTTTTTAACTTATGATTAATTAATTTTTATTTTTTAGAGCAGTTTTACTAGTAGACTTCACAGCAAAACTGAGTGCATGGTACAGATTTCCCACATAGTCTCTACCCCCACACAGCATAGTCTCTCCCACTATCAACAATCCTCCCCTCCCCAGGGATACATTTGTTATAATCGATGAACCTCCATTGGCATCATAATCACCCAAAGTCCATAGTTTACACGAGGTCTCACTCTTGGTGTTGCACATTCTCTATGTTTGGACAAACGTACAATGACATGTATTCACCACTATGGTATCCTACAGGGTGCCTCAGTGCCCTAAAAATCCTCCATGTTCTACCTATTCATGCCTCCACATGATCCTCCCGCAGCCACGGATCTTTTCACACTCTCCGTAGTTTTGACTTCTACAGAATGTCATATACTTGGAGTCATACAGTATGTAGCCTTTTCCGATTGGTGTCTTCTGCTTAGTAATATGCATTTAAGGTTCTTCCATGTCTTTCCATGATTTCATAGCTCTTTCTTATTCTTAGTGCTAAATAATATTCCATTGTCTGGATGTTTATCCACTCACCTACAGGGAGACATCTTGGTTGCTTACAAGTTTGGGCATTTATGAATAAAGCTGCTATAAACATTCATTTGCAGGTTTTTATATAGACATGAAGTTTCAGCTCTTTGAGGAAATATTAAGGAAAGCGACTGCTGGATTGTATGGCAAAAGTATGTTTAGTTTCATAAGAGACTGCCAAACTAGCTTCCAAAGGGGCTGAACCATTCTGCATTCCCATCAGCCATGAAGGAGGGTCCCTTAGGCTCCACATCCTTGCCAGCATTTCCTGTGGTCAGTGTTCCAGATTTTGGACAGTCTAACAGGTGTGTAGCAGTGTCTCGTTGTTGTTTACTTTTTAATATTTAGTAAAAAGTATTCCAGATTTTCTAAAGTGCTATGTCCAAAGACATAATAAAAAGATCAGAACACAGCACCATCTATTTTCAACATCTCTAACACAGGAACAATTCGACATTTCCCTTATCCGTATATGACTCATTCAATGACCTTTACTACACGTCTACAGGAGAAAGTTTGGGTTACAGAGGAAAGAACTATGGCTTAGAGAAAGGTAGATCAGGTTTGAACCCTGCTCTGCTGGGCCATGTGCTTAAACTTCTGAACATTAGTTCCTACTCCATAAAAGGAAGTTACACAGATTAGATTGAATAATGCTAACGAAAGCATCAAGAACAATGTCTGACACATAGACATAATGGGGCATTATCACTATTACCTTTTAAATGATGATTATTACTTATACTGACACTAAAAATATTGTTATTCTTCCCAAAACTAAGGTAAAAAAAAAAAACCCTCAAATGTCAGCCTTCATATTGGAAAAAAAAAAAGGAAAGCTGAAGGCAACAGGCCACTGGAGAGAAACCAGATGAGGAAAACAGAAAGAATGCAGATGAAAGAGTCAAATTTCTTCAGGGCCCATTTAAATTCCCACTGACCGACTTTAGTGGCCTTTAGGATTACTGGGGCCAATTTACATCAATGACCCAAAGATGGAAAATATGAAGCCATATTCTACCCAAAATTGAGGGGAAAGAAAATTCTTGTGGGTTTCTACAGGTTATTTTCTGGAGAAAAAGGTAGTGGGCTCCAGCTGCCTGGAGTGACACAGGAAATGCCGTTCTGTTCTGTAATGGTTTAAGGGTCGACATCATACCCTTTAGGAGCAAGTCCCATAGGCCTCTCCTGTAATCAGTGCCTAGCCTCACATCTTACAAATGTTCCCAAGTTCTTCCATGTCTACAACAGGTTGGTGATAATGTTCTTCTAACAAAATAAGACCTCACAATACAACACATTAAAAAACTGTGTCTGGCCCTGGCCATTTTGGCTCAGTGGACAGAGCATCAGCCCATGGACTAAAGGGTCCCAGGTTCGATTCCAGTCAAGGGCACGTACCTCAGTTGCAGGCTCAATTCCAGATCCTGGTCAGGGCATGTGTGGGAGGCAACCAATAGGTGTGCTTCTCTCCCATCCATGTTTCTCTCTATCTCCCCCTCACTCTCTCTAAAAATCAATGGGAAAATACTCTCAGGTGAGGATTAACAAAAAGTAATAAAAATAAATAAAAAACTGTGCCTGACATACATGTGAAGACCAGGCATGACTCCGACAGAATAGTTCTGGCCTTAATCAGCCACAGCCACTTTCACTGTTGGAGTTACCTCTTCCAGGGAGTCAGTTTGACAATGACGACACGTGCACAAATTCTCCTTGAATGGCAGAGCTTTACTCTAGGCTGGCCACGTCTGAAGAACATGATTTTCTCCTCTGCAGGACATCTGGGTGTTCTTTTCTTAGAAACAATTCTGACTAGAGTGTCACACTTATAAAACAGAGCTGATCAGGGACCTTCTGCCCTCATCTCAGTGGGAACATAAAGGAAATTGACAACAAAAACAGTCATTCCTTTCCCTCTCCAACTAATCAAAGTGCTATGGCCATTCCCGGATTCTCGAATATTTCGTAAATATCCACAAACCAAACATCGTCCATATTGTGAAACATAATCGATGTTTTTGTAAGATATCAGAATTACTCCTTTTAACCTTGAAAACAATTTAATAGCTTGCAGAAAAATAGCAACTCTCATACATGGGTGGTAAAAATATAAACTGACCTAACTCTGGAGAAAACATAGGTAGCATCTATAAATAATATTAACAACTTTCAAAGCCTAAGTCCCAGTCATTTCACTTTTAGGACTTTATCCTCTGAGACACTTACAAAAATGTATGAAGACATAGGTTCTAGAATTTTAGGACATGCTCAAGCCGGGTGGCTCAGTTGACTGGAGCATCGTCCCATACACCTAAATGTAGCAGGTTTGATTCCCAGTCAGGGCACATACCCAGGTTGTGGGTTTGATCCCTGTGGCAACTGATTGATGTTTCTCTCTCACATCAATGCTTCTCTGTCTCTCCCTCCCTCTCCCTTCCCCTCTCTCTCTCTAAAATAAATAAAAACATACGCTCGGGTGAGGATTTTTTTAAAAAAAGAATTTTAGGACAGCATCATTTGTAATAGTGAAAAAATAAAAACAATTCAACTATAATTCTATAGATAAAACCAAGTAATTTACCCCATCCAGTGGAGGACTACATAACTATTAAACAGAATGAAATACAAGTTATATATACTGACATGGGAAAACATCAATATCCCAAAAAATAACATTGTAGAATAATATATGCTGGTATATTATGTAATTCTATGCTTGCAAAAATGATTAATACTTGAACAACTACAAACACCCCACATCTACCTTGTGTATATTTATATATATATATACAGAAAAGTCTGACAGGCTTCAAAACCAACTCCTACCAGTAGTTACTTCTGGAAGGTATGATAGGGAAGAGAAAAAGACATTCCATCTACTTTATATGATATGTTTAAGTATTGGCTCTTACGGGCATGATCCTGTTTTGATTTTTCAAAGGAAGGAAAATATATAATCTTTTAAATGACTCTTACCTTCGGTCATCTGTTCCAATGATCCTCTCGAAAGAAGACTTGAGAAAGATTCTACAACCGTGCTTTTTTTCCTATATCTGCATAGAGTAAGCAGGAGGGAAGGAAAGAGGAAGAAGAAGTAACAAGAAATTAGCCCAAGCTCATTTTCACTCGACATTCACTTCAGTCACAGTCACACCAGAGAGTCATGAAGGCAGGCAGAGCTCAACACTACCGTCCCCAGGGCAGAGACCACCCTGGTGAGCACTGCAGCCCCACCTCCCAGCACCGGGCTAGCATGCGGGGGTGCTCAACCCCTGCTCGCTGAATACGTGAGTGGACAGACCTGCACAAAACAGTGGCCCCAACCTGCCAAGCACCCCCCAGATCTGTGGCTGAACTCAGCACTTCTGTGGCAAGACTCACCACCGATGAAGAATGAACTTAAGAGTGTAATATTTGAAAGCTCTCTCTTCATGTGTGGGGCCACAAAATTAGGTGAGTATGTAATTCCACCAGGGTTAAAATTCACCAATGCTAGCTAACAGCTTTTGCCAGGGTCTTCCTATGGACACAGAGCAAAGATTAAAATAAAATTGGAAACCCATCTCATTTTCACCAACCAAAGTGTTCAACTACATTCTTTGTAAGCAAATAAAACATGCCTTTCTGAATTGGCAGCATCCCCTACAAAGAGAAGAATGTGGCTTGCTTGGCCTGTTTCAGGTTGCGGTACGTAAACTCACCGCAGGGAGACCCTGGAGCTGCCTGCTGCTAACCCCACTGAAATCTCAGCCCTGCTGGGCACTTCAGGTTACCACAAATGCCCCTCGTTTGGCCAAATGAGAAGCGTACTCTAATTCCTAATAGGGATTTTGGTCTCTATTACATAAAACTACATGAGGCCAAGAAAGCTTTGAAGCTCAAGTCCTTTTCTTACAACTGTGGCCAACTTTCAACAGCTCTCAGTCAGGCAAACCGCATTCATTTGATCACACAGACATATAGGTTTATAGTCATATCTCAAGCATATAATTACTGAGTTCATACTTTTGGCAGGTTTGCAAGGCGTCCCTCATGGCAGAAATGCCATTTTGGATGTCCTGTTGCTCGAAGGTCATGATGGCCTGCAATACCACAATGGTACTGTAGCCCAAGGCATGGTACATGCTGTCCTTAGCCCTGGGGGCAACACAGGGAAATAGCACATTTCAATTCAAACTGGAAAGCATTCAGGTCTAGTCTGATAGTCATCATGAGAAATCCTAACACATGCATGTCTTGACTTTCACAGTGATAATCTTTACTCCTTTACCACAGTCCCTGAAAGCATGGGAACTATAAAAGACTGGCCCTAAAATACTCCCGTATCAAGGATTTAACAATTTATGCTCACACAGGCAGCACAGAACACTGCAGGCTGAAAGAAAAAGAGTTGAGATGCTTTTCCCTGTTTCAGCACAAGGGGGCAGCCTGCAGGTTCATTTCCTAGAAAACATTTCAAAGCAAACTGCTTTTCCCCAGTTGGACCAAGGGCAGTGTGCTGCCTTTAGCTCTGGTATCAGTGCTACAATAAAAGCCACTAGAAATATATTTTGTGACTGATTCTGATATTTTTTGAAAGATAAAGACTCATTAAAAATTGTCCCCTCGCCCTAGCCGGTTTGGCTCAATGGATAGAGCGTCAGCCTGTGGACTGAAGGGTCCCAGGTTCGATTCCGGTCAAGGGCATGTACCTTGGTTGCGGGCACATCCCCAGTAGGGAGTGTGCAGGAGGCAGCTGAATCGATGTTTCTCTCTCATTGATGTTTCTAACTCTCCCTCTCCCTTCCTCTCTGTAAAAAAATCAATAAAAAATATATTTTTTAAAAAATTGTCCCCTCTCTGCCCTAGCTGGTTTTGCTCAGTGGATAGAGCATCAGCCTGAGGATCAAAGGATCCTGGGTTTGATTCTGGCCAAGCGTGTATATACCTTGGTTGCAGGCTTCTCCCTGCCCCAGGCCCTGGTCAGGGCTTGTGTAGGAGGCAGCCAATCAATGTGTTTCTCTCACACCAATGTTTCTCTCTGTCTTTCCCTCTTTCTTCCCTAAAAAAATCAATGGAAAAATATCCTCGAGTGAAGATTAACAACAACAAAAAATTGTCCCCTTTCCTCTCCCAGCCAGAGGCAACATTCTTGCAATAAAGTTTGGTAGGCAGACAAAAGCACATTTTAAACTCCATCTCTAATCTAATCCCATTATCTGAGATTCCTGATTAAAGTTCTTGATAATTCACATTACCAGTGAGAATCACTTAGATTCTTAGGAAGGTCAGCTAGTCCTGATGTATGGCAGACACCCCAGATTCTCAGGCTGTGAAAAAACCTCACCATCACTTTTCTTAAAACTTCTTAAATTACGTTAATTATTTATAAGATGTAAAATATCAGTGCACGATTCTGGCTTTAATTCAAATATTATCACAACAGCCTGCTGCTGTGCAAAACAAGTGCCAGCCACTTTATTCGCTTCCCCCACGGAAATAGTCTAAACATCCTTCGGTAATTTGCAGCTTGTCCTGAACAATGAGGGCACTGGTTGTTCAAAAGGACCGCAAGGAATAAGAGCAGCCCAGAGTTAATCAGTAGCTAGAGTTTTAAACCTCATATTTTAACCGGAAGGTCCTCCAAAAGGAAAAAAAGTATTCAAGTAGGAAAAATAAGATCAGAGAATCTATAGCTCCATTAAATACAATGCTAAATCATTTCTTTTCATTCCAGATTATGTCCAGCTGATTTCAGTGGCAAAGGAAAAAAAGGAGACGTGTTTTACTGAAAAAGAAGGAGACGGTCAGGCAGGCTGAGAGAGGAGAGACAAAGAAAAAAATACAGACAGAGAAAAGAAGGGAAAGGTAGAGACACAAGACAGAGAGATGGAGAAGTCATTGGGCGAAAAGGCAGGAGACAGGCAAGGAAGAGGTTGTGAGATAAGCAATGGAGACAGCACTGGACAATTTCTATAGGCTACAGGCTTCACCATCTATCTATAATAATAAAAGCGTAATATGCTAATTAGACCGGGAAGCTGAATGACCTTCCAGACGTCCTTCTGGATGACCTTCTGGATAAAGCTGGGGCTGCGAGGGCCAAAGCTCTTGCACAAATTTCATGCACCGGGCCTCTAGCTTTAACTTATATTCCTAACCTCTGAAATGCTAATTGATCAAGATTATCAAAATCTGAATACAGCTGCCTTTGCAGTTTCTCAGTAGGTAAATCCATTTCTAAGATTCAAGGTCAAGGACAAGAATCACATCACCCTACTGATGGCTCAAAAGAATAAGATTCCCACTTTTGTGCCCACTAAGCTTCTAGAAAATTATGAGGTCTATGCTTAACCCAAGGAAGTGACTGTGTCTGAAGAAACAATGTGAGAGTAAGCATTCCTGTCAAGCTATAGTTACACCATGGGGCTGGGCACTGTGGTCAAAGTGAGGCCTAATAAGAAGGCTGAGCACAGAGGAGGAAAAATTAACAGGTACTATTAACTGAAATTAAGTTGTTTAACCCAAGTTTATCACATAAGCAGGGAGTCCCTATAATATTTATATCATTTTAAATGTTAGCACTTGAGATAAGCATTTCTAGTTCTTCCCTTTCCCAATTCAAAGGAAACTCTTCTCAATTATATTTAATGTTAAGAGGAACATCCATAAAAATCGTTCACTGACAAAAGCAAAATGGAGCTCTATAAAACTACATAAATGACACTATTTAAACAAACATAGAAATTAAAGGATGAGAAAAAATCAGAAATTTTCTATTGAATAAAGTTGAAAAGACAGATTTCTTAACTGGATATTAAGAGGTCTCAAATATGTAGGTGGAAACACAAATAAATTAACTGACAAGTATGGCATAGAAGACATGAATGTCATCAAAAACATGTGAAAAAAAATATTTTACCTAAAAGAAATAGTTAATTACCATGGTTGAAGCAATTCTAAGGCATCTTTAAATTTGTTATTCAGAAATAATTTCAGTGCCACTTCACATTCTTCCAGGCCATTCTTGAGATCCATCTTGGTTGATGATGACCTAAAGATCAAGAAAAATATATATATAATTTCTATAGTTTTTACTATTAGCAAGTTGTCTCAGGGAGTGTGTGTGTGTGTGTGTGTGTGTGTGTGTGTGTGCGCGCGCGCGCACGTACTTTGCATACAGATAGGCTAAAATTCTAACTCTGTCACTTCCTAGCAGTGTCTTGAACCTCTGGGAACTGACTTTCTCATCTGTAAAATGGGACACCACACCCTACTTCATGGGGCCATGGTGAGGATAGAGTTTATGACAACTATGGCTCATTGCGAGCAGTGAATAAATGATATTTATGCCCTCCCCTCCCCACCGCCCCCACCATCACTCCACCACAAGTAGAGGAACTAACTTTTTTCACAGGAGAGGCCAAGGTTATTTTGCTTTCGTTTGGCTATATAAAGGGGAGAAATGTGCTTCAGTGGAAAACTGAATTGTCTAAGGGAGACCCCTCCTAGTTACTTGCTTTTGATTTTATGGTAGTTTTCTTACAACTCTGTGAATGGTAAGTAACTGATAGCAATGCAAACTATTTGTTGTCTATAGACATATCAATTTAGTCCCAGCCAGTAGAGGTTCAACTGACTTCCCTCCAGCGTGAAAGAAGCTAGTTGGTCCTGAATTTACACATTCATTTCAACACTTTTTCGTCCATATAAATTTGTGCTGTCTTCATTTCTCCTTTGAATCTGCTATAACATCTGCCTAGTTCAGGGGTGGGCAAACTTTTTGACTTGAGGGCCACAATGGGTTCTTAAACTGGACCGGAGGGCCGGAACAAAAGCATGGATGGAGTGTTTATGTGAACTAATATAAATTCAAAGTAAACATCATTACATAAAAGGGTACGGTCTTTTTTTTTTAGTTTTTTTATTCATTTCAAATGGGCCGGATCCGGCTCGCGGGCCTTAGTTTGCCCACGGCTGGCCTAGTTCCTTCATTGATTAATGAGTTAATTAAAGTCTTTCAAATGTGGTGATTTCTGTATCTCTATGAGAGTCATGATTATACACTATTTGAAAATTATCTGTTAATTAATTATTGATAGAAATATTTCGGTAAGCAAATGAGTAGTACAATTTATTTCAAAGTACTTCATGTTGAATTTCCATGCCTCCAACCTCTCCAAATTCATTCTTTCAAGCATGAAAACAAAATCTTACCAGTTACTCATCTACCAAAAATGGGTTCTGAAGGTTCTACAGGAAACGGTCCTCTGCCTCTAAAACTTCTCATGGCTGGTTCCTTCCTGTTATTCAGACCTTAGCTCAAGAAGCATCAACTCAGAACTGCCTCAGTGACCCCACCCATACTATCTCACTGTTTTTTTACTCCACATCACTCATTACCATCCCCAGTGTCCCATGCAGCATTTTGGACATGTTTGTCTTTGTCTATCTTCCTGCTCTAGAACACAAATGCAGGGAGGCTGTTCTAGTCACTGCTGTGCCACGAGCATCTTCAGTGAGATCTAGAACATAGTACATACTCATTCAATATTGTTGAGCTGGTGGATGGGGTAGGTGGTTAGGTAAAGCTGATCTGGGTAGGAACACAGAATTCCTCATGCCTAGAGCTTGAAGGTGGTGCCGAAATGAGACAAGTTCTTGGTGGAGGAGTAGCTGAAGAGCTGAAAATTTGTGATGGTTAATTTTATGTGTCAACTTGACTGGACTAAAGGGATGTCCAGACAGCTGGTAAGACACTATTTCTGGATGTGTCTGTGAAGGGTGTTTCTAGAAGAGACTAGCTGTTGAATTGGTGAACTGAGTAAAGCAGATGGCCCTCCGCAGTGTGGGTGGGCATCATCCAATCCACTTTATCCAGTTGTCCATCGATGGATTGCTTCTATATCTTGGCTATTGTAAATAATGCTGCAGTGAACATAGGGGTACATATATCTTTTCATATTAGTGTTTTGGGTTTTTTTGGATAAATATCTAGAAGTGGGAATGCTGAGTCATATGTTAGTCCTATTTTTAATTTTTTGAGGTAACTCCATACTGCTTTCCACTGTGGCTGCACCAATCTGCATTCCCACCAGCAGTGCATGAGGGTTCCCTTTTCTCAACATCCTCCCCAACACTTATTTGTTGATTTATTGATGATAGCCATTCTGTCAGGTGTGAAGTGATATTTCATTGTGGCTTTTTTTCCTTTATTGATTAAGGTATTACATATGTGTCCTTATCCCCTCCATTGCCCACTTACCCCCACTCATGCCCTCACCCCCCTGGTGTCTGTGTCCATTGGTTACTCCTACCTTCCCCCTGAGGTTTGATGTTCTGATCTCTCCTTCTCTGTCTCTGGATCTGTTCTTTTTCATCAGTTTATATTGTTCATTATAGTCCACAAAGGAGAGAGATCACATGATATTTATCTTTCTCCAACTGGCTTATTTCGCTTAGCATAATGCTCTCCAGGATCATCCATGCTGTTGCAAATGGTAGGAGTTCCTTTCATTGTGGCTTTAATTTGCATTTCTCTGATGATTAATGACATAGAGCATCTTTTCATATGTCTATGCACCATCTGTATGTCCTCTTTGGAGACATGTCTATTTAGATCCTCTGCCTGTTTTTTAATTGGATTGTTTGTTTTTGGGTATTATGTTATATCAGTTTCTTACATATTTGGATATTAAGCACCATTAGATGTATCATTGGTGAATAACTTCTCCCATTCGGTAGGTAGTCTTTCGGCTTGTTGATGGTTTCCTTTGTTGTGCAAAAACCCTTTTAGTTTGATATAGTCCCACATTTGTTTATATTTCCTTTTGTTTCCTTTGCCTAAGGAGACATATCCAAAAAAATATTACTAAGAGCCATGCCAGATATTTTACTGTCTATGTTTTCTTCTAGGAGTTTTATGGTTTTGGGTCTTACATTTAAATTTAAGTCTTTAATCCACTTTGAGTTTATTCTTGCAGTATATCATGTAAGAAAGTAGTCGTTTACTTCTTTCTTTCTTTCTTCCTTCCTTCCTTCCTTCCTTCCTTCCTTCCTTCCTTCCTTCCTTCCTTCCTTCCTTCCTTCCTTCCTTCCTTCCTTCCTTCCTTCCTTCCTTCCTTCCTTCCTTCCTTCCTTCCTTCCTTCCTTCCTTCCTTCCTTCCTTCCTTCCTTCCTTCCTTCCTTCCTTCCTTCCTTTCTTTCTTTCTTTCTTCTTTCATGAAACCATCCAGTTTTCCCAACATCATTTATTGAAGAGGCTGTCTTTACCCCATTGCATATTCTTTCCTTCTTTTTCATAGATTAATTGACCATATAGGCGTGGGTTTATTTCTGGATTCTCCATTTTGTTCCATTAATCTATGTGTCTGTTTTTATGCCAATACCACGCTGTTTTAATTACTATAGGATACTTTGATATCAGCATGAAACCTCCACCTTTGTTCTTCTTTCTCAAGATGGCTTTGGCTTTACCAGCACTTCTGTCTGGGAGAAAGCTGCCCCTCCAGTTCTTGGCACTTTTCGAGCTGCTGCCCCAGTGCTGGAGCTCAGAGCAAAGGAGTCCATCAGTGAGTAAGGCCCTGCACAGACCCTTTATGAGGAAAGCCTGGGACTCCAGCTACTTTTCATCTTATCAGGATGCACAAAATCCCTGCTGATTTCACAGCCAGAAGTGGTAGGGACTCCTCTTCCCAAGCTGCAGAGTCCAGTGTGGGCCTGAAACCCCTCACTCCTCAGGGGAACCTCAACAACTCACATAGCCCGGGCTGATTCTTAACTGCCACACCTGGGTGTGCAATCAGACATTTTGCATCCAGCCCTCCTACTAGCCTCAACTTGGCTTCTTTATATCCTTGTTTATGAGTTCTGTTCGGCCAGTCTTCAGGTGGTTCTCAAGGGTGTTGTTCTACAATTTAGTTGTAATTTTGATGTGTTTGCGGGAGAAGGCAAACACAACATTTATCTACTCCGCCATCCTGACCGAACTTCCTTTATATAACTTTAACCTCTTCTTCTCTGACCCCTTTTCAACTCAGAAACACACACAAATCTTACTTATTTCTACTTAATGTTAACCAAGCAAAAAAGGGTAACTTTCCTTCACTCATGTTTTCTCTCTTAACACCATACCCTTTATTTAGTACTGCTTTCGGTAATTTTTTTAGTATTTTATTACAGCTTTCAAACTCAGCATTATAAATGTTGATGTAATAGAAACCTAGGAAACTATCAGATAAATTAGAGGATAACTCTGAAAGGGGGGTATATATTTCTGAAGAAAGCTCAGATTTCCATGAACAGAGACATATGGAACAAAATAGTATTGTGAAAAATAAATGCCTTAAGATACTTACAAGTTATTTTCAAGTTCATCTCCATTCCTCAACCCTCATATTATTGCACCTTTTTCTTACATTGACAAACTGAGTATTATAAATGTGTTTAATTCATAAATAGCTAAAAATTTCAAATGCAAAATACAAAAATGCTAAAGATCTCTGGTATAATTAGTCTAATAAACCTGTAGGATAGATGAAAAGCACTTTTTTAAAATATATTTTTTATTGATTTCAGAGAGGAAGGGAGAGGTAGAAAAACATCAATGATGAGAGAATCATCGATTGGCTGCCTCCTGCACATCCCACACTGGGGGTTGAGCCCACAACCTGGGCATGTGCCCTGACCGGGTATCAAACTGTGACCTTCTGGGTCCATAGGTCAATGTTCAACCACTGAACCACACCAGCCAAGTCTAAAAAAACAGCTTTAACAATTGCCTTAATAACTAATAAAGGAATATCCTACATGTTTAAAAAGAAACAACTAGTTAATTCCAGAATAGGCAGGAAAGGAACAGAACTTAGCAATGAAATGTGATATTATATAAAATACTTAAGGAAAAGAAAAGAATGTCATGATTAACTAAGTTTAAAAAGCAGGTTACTAAACAGTATGTTCAATATAATACCAATTAAGAAAAAAAAAAGTATCTTTATATATAAGGGGGAAAAGAAAGAATATACACCTAAAAAATAGTTATGGTAGCTATGGTGATAGTAATACATAGTTTATTCTTTATGATTTTTCTGTTTATCCTGAATTTTCTACAATGAACATTTTTTTAAATGCACTTTAAGCCAAGGTTACAAGAAAAACATTAGAAAAATAATCATGATGTAATACTGACTGAAAACTCTTTGGTTATATCCATTTCAAGAAACACATGCCCAGTGAAAAGACTGGAATGAAAGACACCAAAATTCTAACAGTCTGTATTAAAGTCATAACTACAGTTTATGTTTTCCCTTCCTCCATTTTCCCTGATGGTTGGCAATGTGGTTATATTATTTTATTTAAAAATTAATGGTTTGCCCTAGCCAGTTTGGCTCAGTGGATAGAGCGTCGGCCTGTGGACTGAAGGGTCCCAGGTTCGATTCCAGTCAAGGGCACATGCCTGGGTTGCAGGCTCGATCCTCAGTAGGGGGTGTGCAGGAGGCAGCCAATCAATTAATCCCTCTCATCACTGATGTTTCCATCTCTTTCTCCCTCTCCCTTTCTCTCTGAAATTAATAAAAAATATATTTTTTAAAATTAATGGTTTAAAAAATTTGAGGTAGCAAAGACACAAAGGGAGCTGTGCTGCAAAAGTTTAATTTTGTTTTGTTCCTGCTTTTATGTAACAGTTTCACCTAGTCACTGAGTCCCTTAGCCTGCTTCCCTAATTTGTAAAATGGGCCCTCTACCTGCCCGGGCCGCTCCTCTCCCCGCGGATCAATAAAACACAGAGCCTGCTCTGACATCAGCATTGCAGTTCACCGAAGGGTAGGACTGGTGCCCCCAGGAACGCTCGCACCCTTTCTGACCTGCTCACTTTGGATGGTCGGTGCTGTCCAGAGGCCTGTTTTGCGTCCAGTGATGCCAAGTGAGGTCTGCTTGCTGCCATATCTGTGCGAAAAGGCCTGTTAATAAAGAAGGCAGAGTGAGGTGTCTTACAGGAAACGTTCACATAAACTTAAGTACACACACAAGCCCTTCAATTATTTACTGAATCTCACCTCCATTTCTTTTTTTTTTTTTAAGATTTTTTAAATTGATTTTTGGAGAGGAAGGGAAAGGGAGAGAGAAACATTGATGTGAGAGAGAAACATGGATCGGCTGCTTCCTGCACACCCCCTACTGGGGATCCAGCCGGCAACCTTTCACGGCCATGCCCAACCAACTGAGCAACATCAGCCGGGGCATCTACATTTCTTTGCAATTTAGAAAAACTATTCAGTTACATGGTGAACATTCCTGAAATATAGCACCAATAAAATAAACTTTTTTTTATTCTAGTGCACACACACACAAAAGAAATGAACTGAAACCATCCCCCACAGCTCTACATCCAAACACAGCATTGTGTCTTGTATATATCCTTGCATATCTTTTCCCAAGTAAATCTACACATATATTTTTATATTTTACTAGAGGCCCAGTGCACAAATTCATGCATGGGTGGGGTCCCTCAGCCTGGCCAACGATCGGGGCCAATAGGGGCTGATCGGAGCCAGCTGGCCGGGGGCGGGGGGATGGGAGGGACCGCAGGAGGTTGGCTGGCCAGGGAAGGTTGGCTGTGGGAGCACACTGACCACCAGGAGCAGCTCCTGCGTTGAGCATCTGCCCCCTGGTGGTCGGTGCACATCATAGCGACCAGTCATAACAGTTGCTTAGGCTTTTATATATTTAGATTAAAATGGAATATTATAGTAGAGGAGAAAAAAGTTTTCTTTGACACTCTTAGGGTCCCTGGTTGGGTCTGAAAAGTAAAGTGACAAAGACAGGTTAACAAGAGAAAAGCATATAAATTTTATTGAATTTTTACATGTACATGGGAGCTTTCACAAGAGAATGAAGCCTCAAAGAAGTGAACAACAGGAAGCTTTTATACCTGTTAGACACAGAAACAATAAGTTTGTGAATAACTGACAAGATAAGGAGTTGGGCTAGGAGTAGTAAATGGTGAAGAAGTAACTAGGAATATAAGGATTGCTTTAATAAGGTTTGACTGCAGATTCTATGGGCTGATAGGTGTCTGTCTCTAGTAAAAGAATTTGTTCCCTGCCTTTATGCAGAAAAGGGAGAGCTTTCACTGCTTTTACTGCTTCTTAATTTGTTTCCCACATGGACAGGCAATTATCCCAATACCAATGAATAACTCATCCTTCAGCTACTCCTTAGCTTGGAAATAAGACAAAAGAAAAACCAATGTCCTTTCAATGCCATGTTGGAGCACTAACAGGCCCACCCAAAGATATACCTTTGTTTGATTTGCTAATGACTACTGATTGAGGCCTATACTCTGTAAAATTATATGTTAACTTGTAGATTTTTTTCTGGTAAATACCCAAATAATTAGTCTGGTAAGGTTATGGTTTTATTGCCTTGTAAGATATTAACCAGTTTTAAATATAGCAAATCATATTCCAAAATTCTTTCTTCCATTCCCCAAATATTTCTGGAACCAGTTTTACCATCTTGCTGATTGATAAATAAATCTTTGACATTTGTTCGTTGTGTAATTTTTACACGATGACATACTGAATAACACTGCAACTCTGTAACACAGGGCAAGTTTCCATATGTACACACGTCTGTTTCCAGGCATTCTTGTTCCACCCATGTATTTGCCTTTCTCCGCACTTTTCACTATCATGGCTTTCTTAATATGCCAAAGGAACAAGCCCTGTACTTTATTAAATGTTTTTTCCCGGGGGTGGAGAGGGGACTGCTATTATTTCACCTTCAATCTTAGTTATAAATTTTAGAGTAAGTTCTTATAGAGTTACCAATAAAAGTCCTGCCATGGTGTTTCCTGGGACTTCATTACATTTCTAGCAAACTTTGCAGAGAACTCCTATCTTTACAATATTATACTTTCACATCTATACACATTTATTCAAGTCTTATTTCCTTCAATAAAGGTTTTTAATATCTGAAACACTGCAGTGGAGTGCATGCATCCTTGCAAAAAAAGCCATGCTAAATGATCTTGAAATTGCTTCAGGTTTAGGATCTGTTCCGCCAAAGTAAGCGCAGTTATTAAACATGTAAATAGAAAGACTTGTCTGATCCACTCCTGAGCATAACCAAGATGTTATACTGAGATGTTAGAAGAAATGTATTTTTAGCTAGTGAAAAATGCTAAAGAAAACATCATATTTCAATTACTGTTATGAGTGTTGGAAAATATATCCTCATTTTGCCCTGTATTTACTGCTCTAATTTATTTAAGTTTCTAAAAAAGCTTTATTGAGATATAATTCACAGACCATGCAATTTACCCATGTAAAGCATACAATCAATGGTTTTTAGTATACTCATATTGATAGCAGTGTACAACTATCACCACAATCTAATTTTTAAAGTATTTTGTCACCCAAAAGAAACCTTGAATTCATCCATTAGCGATCATTCCCCATAGTCCTTTGTATCTACACCTTTGCTATAACTGGCTTTTTTCACTTAGCATAATGTTTTTAAGATTCATCCATGTTACTACATGTATCAGTACTTCATTCTTTCTAATGGCCAAATAATATTTCGTTGTATGAATATAATACATTTTGTTTATTGTTTCATTTGTTGGTGGATATATGAGTTACCAAAAAAAGTCCTGACATGGTGATGCTGCATCCCTACCAGTAATGTATGAGTCCCAATCTCTCCATATCTTGGCCAACACTTGTTATTGTCCATCTTCGTGTGGGTAATGTTACCTCATTATGGTTTTGCCTTTCATTTGCCTAAGGACTAATGATACTGAGCATCTGTGTAGGGACTTATTGGCCATTTGTGTATCTTCTCTGGAGAAGTGCCTATGCAGGTTCTTTGGCCATTTGTTACTTGGGTTATTTGTCTTTTTACTTTGGTGTTTTACACTACTCTAATTTTCAATCATGAGGTAGAACTATTTTCAAATGAAATACTTACAGCTGTCTTTGTTTATACTTTTTCTCTCCTTCAAGTCATAATTAGCAGAATCAATTCAAATTTAATTTCCCTAATAAATTCAACGCAATGTGCTATGTTCCTGCACAATAAAAAGCTAGCTCATTTTGAAAAGCAAAAAATGAAGTAAAAATTTCAAGAATTATTAAAAGACAATATCCTTCCAGCTTTTCATCAAAGTTAAAATCTCTCTTTAAGGGGAGAAAAGGAATGAACACAGATGGCCAATCGTTATGCTATGAGAGGCGCCATTTATATAATCTACAGTCTGAACAGTGTCCACCAGCATTATGAACATAGGACTCCAGTGGATACCACCACCAGATTTCCAGGAAATTTATTGCTTAATATTATTGGCCATATGATGAGCTTGTCTTTCTTACTAAAGAAATTGCTCACCAGACCAAATGCTGCCCAATGGGCAATTCCTTCAAATAGCCATCCTCAGGGCCATTGATCAGAGGCAGGGGGGACTGCTGCAGCTGCCGCTGGGAGAGCAAGAAGAGCCCAGAAACTAGCAGGTACTCCCCACGGACCTCTGACTGTCAGCTCCAATCCAGGCCTGTCACCAGTGCTATCAGAATCAAGGGAAAGGAATTCAACATTTTCTCACCACTCGTGCAAGTGGAAACTCCCAACAAGACTGTGTGGATTAACTGACTGATTGACTGAACAAACGGACAAACAGAGCAGCAACTGACAGATAGCACTGATTTATTTTTTACTGGAAGGAACTGGCCCTCACTCTCGTCTAGCCAATCCAACCACCTGAACTCTCTGATGTTCTAGACACACTGTTCTAAGACCACCAACGATTGGAAATGCAACTAGAAGCCAACAGCCAGGAAAAGACTAAAGCCAATTCAACAGAAGAAAGAGTTCAAGGAAATGGACAAGCTTAACTTGAAAGAAAGAACAGTTGCCGAAACCGGTTTGGCTCAGTGGATAGAGCGTCAGCCTGCGGACTGAAGGGTCCCGGGTTCGATTCCGGGTAAGCGCATGTACCTGGGTTGCAGGCACATCCCCAGTGGGGGGTGTGCAGGAGGCAGCTGATCGATGTTTCTCTCTCATCGATATTTCTGATTCTCTATCTCTCTCCCTTCCTCTCTGTAAAAAATCAATAAAATATATTTAAAAAAAAAAAAAAGAAAGAACAGTTGGAGGAAAGCAGAGAAAAGGAAAGAACATGAAAGCTATTCCCAGACATTTCCCTCTCTAATTCAGCCTTCTAAATCACATTCCCTGGAGCTGCTATTGCCAAATGACTCTGAAAAATACATATGATGTGTATACAGAGAGAATAATAAAGCAAATGTGGCAAAATGTTGAAAATGGATTAAGGGTACACATTAAATCCTCTGTTATTCTCACACCTTTTTGCTACGTTTGGAATTATTGCAAAGTAAGAAAATGTTTTTAAAAGACAGCTTAGATGGCCCTGTAGCAAAGGGCAGCAACAGGGATCAAATGAGTGGTTGCTGGACCTCAGTCACTGGCCTCGCCAATGCCAGTGGAGAATGCTAAGCCCTCAGGGTCATGGACACACCAAGTCCAGCCCCCACAGGTGCCTGAGGGGCAGAGGCAGTGGAGCCAAACACAGTGGATTTGCTGCTCTGGGTGTTTTATTCAAGAACAAGACATGGTTGTCATTAGGTATTTTATGCAGCAACTAAAGGGGGTTCACATCCAGATCTCCGTCTGCCCCGAGGGAGGCTTAGCCATTGCTTATATCCACGATTTGGTTAATTACATGTTGATTTCTTCTTTGCAGTTGGCTAAGTTATTAGGTTCCAGGCAAGCTCATCCAGTGACAGCTGTGTCTGCCAAGAACTGTGCTACACTTTAACACTTAGCAGGAATAGCATTACGTAGTAAAAACTGCCCAGACCTTGAGACCCTTGTCCTATGTAGCAGCAGCAAGGACAGAGGGCAATGCAAAAACAACTGGATGTAGCCACCAACCAGAGAG